CATTTGTCACAAGTTATAGACAGCTTGTTCCTCTAAGCAGTGGAATTGGAGGTATATATGTACTAGTGACAGTATAAAATCCAGTGTATGGCATATGAGGGTTCAGAAAGTCGATGAATTCAGAATCTGTTGTTTTGCTGGCCTAGAAGAGTTGGATGCTGATGGTTTTGAAGCTGGAGTTACTGTTTGGAGGGAAGAGGCTAGAGGGTGCTCTTGCCCACTGCTGTGCTGGCTGATGCAGGAATGGTGCCAGCTGGATGGGATGGAAGAAAAGAAGGAATCAGCCACTGAGAACAGCCTCAGTATCCCTGCTGGGGTTTGTTCCCCAGCACAGCTGACACCTTGCAGTGCACAAACAGCTCCTGAGGGTGCAGCTGGAGCCCTCAGAGGGGAGCACAGAACTGGGAAAGGCTGAGCTCAGCTGAGCAAAACCCAGGGCTGGTGCAGCATTGCCCCTCTGCTCCCTGCAGTTCCCTGGTGAGGCTCTGGCTTTTTCCCTCCTGGAGAAGGGCTTGGTGCTTCCAGTATTGGGAGCAACAGTTGTAGCTGCCTTTAATGCCAACTCAGCTTCCAACCCTGCTTTCTCCCCCAGGCTAAGAGCACTTTCCTATTCAGTCACTGCCCAGGATTACCAAGTAGATGAGTCTTCCAGTGAGCCACAGAACTGGAGCTGTCACCACCTTCTCAGCTTTTCCAGCCTGGCAATTTTGCTGAGCACTTCTTGTTTATGTTCTGTTCTGCTCTGGGGAAAAGCCACCTGAGTTCTTGCATGGTTTTAAGACACCTTCAGCAGCTGCTTGATCTTTCAGAAAATCAGCAGGACAGAGAAACTGTACTGGCTTGATGGGTTGTTTTAATTGCCTTTGGTGCAGTGAGAGTTAAATTAGCTCAGAGAGGCCTGGGAAGATGTTCTGTAAAAAACAAACCTAGATGATGATTTAACTATGCCATTGCCTTCCAACTGCTTCTGCCAAGTCCTTTGGTACTGCAGGTTTTCTCCACAGCTGCCTAAAGTTTGCCAGGACAAGCTTAAATTGAGGTTAAAGGAAAGTAAAACACTTTAAAAATGTAGTGTATTAAGGACTGAATTAATTGTAGTTCTTCCCAGTGCTGCGTGAGGACTTGGTAGGACTTCCTATAATAAAATTCCAGATTAAGGAGGGATAGGACAGTAGATCTGTCCTGTCAGGAGGTGGAAAGCCAGGAGAATCTTTCTCAGCAGAAAGGAGCAGTTTGGGTGGTTCTCAGCATAGCTGGGAGTAGCTCTGCTCTGCTGCCTTCATCTCTATTTATGCTCCATCTTCCAATACTACATTTTCTTAGTGGCGAGGGTTTGATTTTGGAAATCAGTCCTGTGTGGAATGCTGGTGGTTTATTTATAAAAACAGGTCTAGCACTTGCCAAGCTCAACAAGGGCTTGGTGGAGAAAAGAGGGATGCCAATGCAGGAGTGGCACGTGATCCTTACAGAGCTGAAACCCCACTCCTATATAAAATAATAGCTAAACATTTTCAGAGACAGACAAATAGTTTCTATGCTGGGCCTCTGCAGCCAAACCCACCTCACCCTGAGAAGAAATGCAACTTTAAGTTTCTCAAATACCACAGTCCTAAAGAGAGATATGGGGGCAGTGACTGAAGCCAATCTCTCATGTCTCCAGGGGTTTGAGGCCAGGATCCAGCCAGTGCTGCTTTGCCTAATCTAGAGCTGATAATTCCCATTTCCAGGGTAACAGAGCCCGTGTGATGATGTCCCAGTAGATGATGTTGCTAATGCTGCTGCAGCAGTTGTTTGTAAAGCTGTTGTAATAAAATACAGCTGTCAGAATGCACTCAAAACTGCTTAAAACTCCCTTTTTCATACCAAGGTGATGATGTTTGCTGGAACTCAGGTGCCACCCTGGTCCTAGAAAGAGATGCCTGGTTTGGCTGTTAGCTGAGCAAATAGCAGTGAGATTCAAACTGCTCCAGCAAATTGGTGTGTTTGTAGGAGGCCTCATCAGCTGCGTGCAGCTTCTTGACCTCATTGACTTCCAGGAACTCCACACACAAAAGGTAAAGCCAAGGGAAGTCTGTACAGACTTTGTATTTTGTCTTTAACATCCTTGTGGTAAATGTCTGTTCTTAGATCTGTTTGAGACAGGATACTGGGCAAAACAGACTTTCTAACACATTTTAAGGACACAGGAAAGTCCTTTGACCTGTAAGAAATTCATGTGCACAAATGAAGTACCCAGAAAACTGTGTCTGAGCAGAAAAGCTTCACTCTTGTGACAGCCCAAGGAACGTTAAGCTGCTCATGCCTTGGTAAAGAATTTGACTCTTGCAGGCTGGGGTTGGGAGGGAAAGCTGTGACTGTGCCCATCTGACCTGGACTGAAGTCCTGGCTCTGGCCACTTCCCAGCAGCAGGATGAGGGTTCTGGACATTGCCTGGCACAGCACACACTGAGCCAGCAAACATCTGAAGAATGGCTGTTGATGGGAGGATGAAATGGAACAGCTTGAACCTGTTCTCAGTGCAGAGCTTTAAAGTTTTTGATGGTAGTTTCTTGTGCCTCACACCCATCTTGGGTAGGAACTGCCACAGAGGAGTAATGGGGTTGCTATTTGCTTATCTGTTATGATAAACACTCAGAGCTGCTCTGAGAAAGCTCACGTCACAAGAACTGTTTCATAATGTTGGTTTAGGAGCTCTTGGATCTCCCCTCAGACAGGGATCCACTGGTGCTTCAGCTCTTCTCTCTGCCCTGCTCAGCTCTCTTGATGTGCCCCTATGGACAAACCAGCCTCCCCCGCTCCAGCTCCACGCCTGTGGTAATGGCATTTAGCTCTCTGATCTTTACAGGTTGATATGCAAATGGTATTAAATTAGGAACACTCTGGATCTGGAGCTGGGACGTGTCTTTAGGGAAGGGTTTGGAAACTGAACTCAGTAAGTGCACTGAGATCTTTTGAGTTAAGCTCAAGGGAGGAGGAATTTTCTCTAGAAACCCAAGAAATCAAGAGTGATTAGGCAACCAGACCTTGTAGAGAGATCTGTTTATCATGCTCTTTGTGAATGTTTTACTAAAAGATTTTATTAGTTCTCTGCCATAGGCTTGACTTGTCAGGTTTCAGTTTTGGGGTAGAAGTTACAAAGATTGAAACTTTTTTTTTTGCCCCATTTCTGATCTTCCACCGTAAAAGGCGGAAATCTGTTCACCTTTCCATGAGATAGTATTTCTGTTCCTGATACCGCCCTGATTACAGCAGCTGCATAAACATCTTTATACTCCCAGCCAAAAGGCTGCAGAGAACTATGATTTGGCATCCCCCAAGGCTGGGCTGAAATTTTCTCCACCTGAATGGCAAACCCCCGAGGACCAAGGCAGCAGCCCCGGGAAATGCCCGGTCGGAAAGCTGGCGGCTCCGGGGGCTGCAGGTGCCCTCCCAGACGCTTCCCCACATTACAATGAGCAGAGCAGGGAGTTTCCTGCTCCTGCTGGAGCCCAGCCAGTCACTTTCTCATCATCCATATTCTTAAGTGGAAGAGCAGATGGATCAGTTGCTTCCTAGATACGACGCAAACACGGATGCATTTGCAGACAGAGCCGCTCTTGTTTTGAAAGGAAGCGAGAGGCTGACCTGTGTGAGGAGCGGCCATCCCTTGGCTCTCCCTCCTGCCAGGGCCGAGTATTCCCCTCACACCATCCCTCAGGCTGTGCCAACTGCCCACTGTGCTCTCCAGCAGCTCCTCGGTCAGTTCTTACTGGCCCAGCCACAAAACCTTAATTTCTCCCATATTTTTTATCTTGTAGCTTAATGCCTTCCCTATTTTTCTGTTATGTGGAGCACTTTCCCTCCTTCAAACCCTGCTTCCCTTCCCTGCATCCCTGTCCAGCTGTAAAGCAAAGTGTCACAGGCTCTCTGCAACTCTTTTCCAGTTGCACTCAACAGATGCTTCTGTAACGTCAGGGTTTGGCATGATTAAAAAGTGGAGGAAGGAGCCTGGGAGCTTTAAAATAGGTGTGGGGTTGAAGCTGGCATGAAAACAAAAGCAGATACAAGTCACATCCTATTTTTTTTTCCCCTTGAACCAAAGCAGAATCAAAACATCCTTTTACTTTGGTCAAATTAAAACAAAATAATCAAACAAAACACTGCTGTGAGTAAACAGAGCTGTTGACTTGTCACTGGGGCCCTCAACATCATCAGCTGAGAGCTGTGACACTGATGTGGGTGCAGCAAACAGCCCCTCCTTGCCCATGGGCCACCATGTCCTGTGCCTGGGAGGGAAATTTAAGCAGCAAGAGTGTAAAGCACAACCCCGAGGGTGTAAAGCACAACCCTGAGGTGTAAAGCACAACCCTGAGGGTGTAAAGCACATCCCTGAGGGTGTAAAGCACAGCTCTGAGGGTGTAAAGCACAACCCTGAGGGTGTAAAACACAACCCTGAGGATGTAAAGCACAACCCTGAGGGTGTAAGGGACAACCCTGAGGTGTAAACACAACTCTGAGGGTGTAAAGCACAACCCTGAGGGTGTAAAGCACAACCCTGAGGGTGTAAAGGACAACCCTGAGGGTATAAAGCACAACTCTGAGGGTGTAAAGCACAACCCGGCGTGCGTGGTTATTGTGTAAAGCTTGAGAGCTGATGTGTGGATTTTGCCCGAGCCCTGAAGAGGGGCTGCACTGCCGGCCCAGGCAAGTGCTGGCCCCGGTCTCCAAACCCCGCACCCGAGCGGGTGAACGAACACACGGTTCCCAAAAGCTGGAATCGCCTTCTCCTCTCCTCCACAGCTTCAAACCGGGCAGAGCCGCTGTCCCTCCTGGCACCGGCAGCGGGATGCAGGGACAGCGGGGACAGCAGGGACAGCGGGGACAGCAGGGCCAGCAGGGACAGCAGGACCAGCAGGGACAGCAGGACCAGCCCCTCCGCTCGGTGCTGCTCGCCGGGCCCGGCCCTCGGCCGGAGCCGGGGCTGGGGCCGCCCCCGGGGCCGGGGCCGGGGCCGGGGCGGGGAGAGGCGGCGGTCGGTGGCGAGCGGGGCGGCGGAGCGGAGCCGGGATGGCAGCACCGCTGCGGGCCGCCCTGGCGCTGGGGCTGCTGGCGGCCGCCCAGCCCGCCCCGGCCGCGGGGCAGCGGCGGCAGGCGGAGGTAGGAGCGGCACCGGCACCGGCACCGGCGGCACCGGCGGCACCGGCGGCGGGGAGGGTCGGGAGCGCGTCCCGGGTGTGCGCGCTCCCCGTGCGGCCGTGGGAGGGCTGCGCGTGTCCCGGTGTGTGTGTCCCGGTGTGCGCGTCCCGGTGTGCGTGTCCCTTGTGCGTGTCCCTTGTGCGTGTCCCGGTGTGCGTGTCCCTTGTGTGTGTCCCGGTGTGCGTGTCCCTGCTGTACCCACGTCCCCGTGCTCCAGCCGTGTGTGTCCCCACTGAGTCCATGCCCTGGCTGTGCCCGTGTCCCTATGCTTGTGCCATAGGCGTGCCCACGCTCCAGATGTGACAGTCTCCGGTGTGCCCATGCCATAGGTGTGCCCGTGTCCCGCCAGCTGTGTGCATATCCCTGTGTGCCCATGCCATGGGTGTGTCTTTGCCCTGGGTGTGCGTGTCTGTGCCATAGGTGTGTCCCTGCCCCAGGTGTCACTATGTCCCTGTCTGTGCCATAGGTGTGTCCATGCCCCAGGTGTCACTGTGTCCCTGCTGTGTCCATACCCTGGGTGTCACTGTGTCCCTGGTGTGCCTGTGCCATAGGAGTGTCCCTGCCCAGGTGTCACTGTGTCCCTGGTTTGTCTGTGCCATGGATGCGTCCATGCCCCAGGTGTCACTGTGTCCCTCGTGTGTCCATGCCCCAGGTGTCACTGTGTCCCTGGTGTGTCCCTGCCCCAGGTGTCACGGTGTCCCTGGTGTGCCCATGTCCCTGGTGTGCCCGTGCCACAGGTTTGAGTGTGTTCCCTACGTAGATGCCCACCCCAGGTGAGTGCCCCTGAGCCCCTGACAGCTCTGCATGCACGTGTGCCCTGGGTGCACGCCGTGTGTGTGGCTGTGCCAGCTTGGAGGTGGGGCTGTGCCACAGGGTTGTGTTGGAATGCCAGGGTGTGTGGCCACCTGTGCTGTGTGGAGCTGTGGCAGAGAATCACAGGCTGGTTTGGGTTAGAATGGACCTAAAACTCAAAAGCCAGTCCTTCCCCTGCCTGCCTCTCCCCAGTGCTGTCCCCATCACCCCTGTTTGGATTTCTTCTGTCTGTCCTGCTGTCATTGTCACCCCGTGCCACCATCCATTCCTGTTTGTTTTGGGAAGACAGGGTGTGAGATTTGGCTGGTGAACACAGGTTCATATTGGGGACTTTTTTTTTTTTTTTTTTTTTTGTTTAGGCCTTGATCCTATGGACATTTCCACAAATGCTTAATTTTCAACCCCAGCCAGCTAGTCCTGGTGAATTAATTGGGATTTTTGAACACTTGCTTTGAGAGGAAAAGGGCACAGGAGTGCTCAGAGCCTTGTTTTGATGTTCAGGCTCTTTCTGCTGGGAGATGCTGCTTCAGGGAGGTCTTAATAGTTGTGCTTTTCCCACTGTGCACAAAACCTCAGCCCAGCCCCTCATGGCGCCTGGTGAAAATAAATCTGCAAAGATTTAATGCTGAGAAAACCAGGAATTTCAAATTCACTTTCAAAGAAAACCAACTAATTGGGAAGAACTGGTTTAACAACCCAAACTGCCTTTCCACCCCTCATTGGTGACTTCTGAGCTCTTTTCCCTTGCAGCTTCAGAACAGATCCCAGGATTGTGGCAGATCCCTCATGAGGGGGTGCTGGGGAAGTGACTTTCCTGTCTCCCTGCCTCAGTTTCCCCAAAAGGATGTGCTGTGCTGACCAGGGACTTTGGGACAACACACACAATGGAAATGCAGAGGCTGGCATGTGGAACTTGTCTAAATAAACTGAGCAGTTAATTTTCTTTTAGGAGGAAACTGAAATTCTCATATAACATCAAATAGTTCTGGTGATTTGTGGCTTTCAGAGCACTTCCAGGCTTTGCTTCTAAAGATTTTTAATTCTTTTTAAAAAACCACAGTTAGCAACAATATGTTGTGTAAACTTTGATGCATAAGACTGTGAAATGTCCAGTTATGTGCTTTTCCTGGCTGGTGTCCAAGTTTTCACTGCATCTGTATCAACTGCAGTTAAAAAAAACCCAAAACCACATTAAAAAAAAAAAAAAAAAAAAAAAAAGGAAAATTCGAAAATTTAATTTGAAACATTTGTATGTGAAATCATCTTATCATCTACAGATAGGAGAGGGCCCAGTGTAAGAGAGCACATTGTTTGGCAGGGCTGGGCTGTGCTCAGACTGCAGCTGGGGGGTGGTAATGCCCGAAATTCCCTGATCCCGGGGGAATTGTGTAAAATACCCGGGGGAATTGTGTAAAATACCCGGGGCATGTGAGATCTCAGCCGTGGTGGGGGTGAGGAGCACGGTGAGGTGCTGCTGCAGCCAAGGACAAAGGACAATGAAGTCCCTGCAGAGATTTGTGTGGGAAGCTCCAGGTCTGTTTTGGTGGAAATAAAAGCTGAGGAGAAATTTGAGAAAAGCAGGGAATGGGAACAGAGAACTGGACTAACAGACCGGATAGTTCTCATTTTGGATTTTTTTCCCTAATTTTTCCCCCCTGTCCTGCCTTTCTGCAGTATCTGGTGCACACTGACTTCTCCCCGATATCAAACCACATTTTGGGCTCTGGGCTGTTTGTGCTGGGAAACTCTCCAGCATTTCTGAGCTGCTTTGGGAGCAGGATGCTGCTGGGCTGTGGGATGCTGAGCACAGCTGGATGGAGGGAGGCACACACGGTGGGGCTGGGAGCTCCACTGAGCATCCCACACTTTCCTTCTGAAACAAAGCGGAGAAATCACCCTTCCTGTAAAAAACCACTCAGCCCCAGCAGTTTTGGTGCTGCAGCCCATCGGGGTTTTGGGGTGCTGGGGGTGCCGGGGCAAAAAGTTGCTGGCTGCTGCCCAGTGAGTTAGCACGGATTTGTGGATTGGTTTGGGTTGGAAGGAGCTTAAAGCTCGTCTCATTCCACCCCTTGCCATGCAGGGACACATTCCACTAGACCAAGCTGCTCCAAGCCCCATCCAAAGGATTGGTGAAACCAGGAGGGGTTTTAGTCAGAGCAGGCTTGCTGCTTCTCAGCTTTAGAAGACCCAGTGTGAAAATAAAAGGAGTTTAGAAGACCCCAACTCCACATCTTTAGTAGCAAGTCGATTGTTTGCTGCTAAAGTAGATTTTAGGAGTGGTAGGTGGGACAGGAGGTTCCTCCAGGAGGTGCAGGAGGGGAACATCCCAGCAGCCAGGCGGTGCCTGGGGCTTTGACCAGGCTCCATCCCCCGTGCAGAACCAGCTGAGGTTTCCCTGGAGGACAGCCAGGCTCTGTGCTCGCTAATGCCCCTTCTCCTGTGTCTCCCTGTGTGCACAGATATAATATTTATAGATACTTATACTCACACTTAAACAAAAGCAGCTCTGCCTGAGGCTCTGCAGGGATGAGTGGAAGCAAATGAGCATTTTTAATTGATGTGACACCTCCTGGGGGCAGCTCGCAGGCAGCAGGGACCCGATGGGCAGGAGGAGCTGCTGCTCCTTCTGTGACCACGCCAAAACAAGCCCCGGGCCAGCTCTCCTCGTGTGTGTGCTGGGGGAAAGTGGGGCTGAAAAACAGGAGCCACTGTGTCCATTTGGGTGGTGAGATGATGTGGGATGAGCCTGGGGATGCTGGAACCAGGGTTTAGGATCCACCTGGGCTGTCTCATGATTTCAAACAAGACTTTAAAGGGTGCAGCCTGTGGTGGCACCACCTGTGAACGTGACACAAAACACCCACATCGATTAAGCCCTTTTCCACTGAGAGGTGTTTTAAAAGCTTTTGTTCTGTTTTCAGTCTCATGTGAAGGGTGAGACAGTACAGATGTTATAATCCACAGCATCACAATCAGAAGCCAACTATCTCTTAATTACAATACATTATAAGCATTTCTTGGCCTGGCCTTTGGCAGGACAGGATCCCTTCCCTGCGCTGCGGGGGATGGAGGGCAGGGATGGGGTTTGCACCCAGCGGAGCAGAGGGACCACGGGCAGCAGGAGCTCGGTGTGAGGCTGCTCTGGTACTCAGCTGGTGGAAGGGAGCCAGAACGAGCCTGTCTGGAGGGGAGAGCAGGCAGGAGCAGAGCCTGCTGTCTCGGCACTCTCGTTATCCCAGTTTCCAGGCAGGGAGGGCTAATTGCCTTTGCTGCTGGCTGTCTTCCACCCGGGACGCCTGTGGTGGAGGGCAAGGTGTTTCCTTGGCTTTAGTCAAGGCAGAGATGATTTCCAGGGTTGTAACAGGCTTCACATCAGAGCCCTGAGATGGGAAGGGCCCCTCTGTCTCCCCCAGACTCCTCCTGCTGTCCCTGCTGCAGCCCCGGAGGTTCTCTGCCCCAGCGCTGGCTCCAAGGCAGCCAGATCCATCCTCCTTTCCCTCCCTCCTGCAGAGGGGGAGCTGGGCATATTTCATATTCATGTTTCTCTTGGTTTCCTGCTGTTTTTCTTTTCCCATTGTATGGAAAAGAGCATTTCCCCGTCTGGGGCAGGAGGGAGGGGGTTTTCCCAGCACGGCCAGACTTTGCACTGCAGCCTCTGGAGAGGTTTCATGGGCTGGTGCCAGATTCCAGCCAGCCCTGCCAGAGCCTGGCTGGGCTCTGGGGGGTTGTGCAGTGCTGGGGGAGCCTTGAGCACTGGTTTAGGCCTAGGACATTGTAGCATGGGGTTCTCAGGTTCCCCTGGGCTCCAAAAACTCCCTGGATTTGTATGCTCTGTGCTCAGATAAATTCCTGACAGAGATCAGCACATCCCTCTCCTGCAGCTCTGTGTTTCCAGGACCACCATCACCCTTAGCTGACAGCAGATGTGTCTAGAAAATGTAATAAGATTTCTCCTGATGGTTTTGCAGCTGGAGGGTTGGTGCCTGTGTGTGAAAACCTCAATGTGGCACAGGCCAGAAACCACAGAGAAAATGCTGCTTTGCTTGGACTTGCAAAGCTCAAGGAGCTCTGGGCAGGAATGATAAAGCCTCTGTGCCTTCTGGTGCTGCTCAAGAGCAGCTGCTGGGACAGGGGCTGCTTTTTTCACTGTGCACTCTGATGTGTCCAGATGGGGTTTCAAACCTTCATGAGATCATGGTGAGGAAAAACCATTTTCACGCTTTAAGGATGGGATTGTGTTGGGTTACAGGCGAGGAAAGAGCTTCAGGTTGTGCTGAGTGAATGCAAAACCATGTTAGAAAAGGTTCAGACCATGATGTGAGAGCCAAGACTTTCCACCCAGGTGTTCTCAGCTCACATTTATCTGCAGTGATGTCACCACTGGCATCTTCACCCTGCACCCTCACACGTAACTGGGGGTTTTGTGCTTCTGGAGGAGAACTTTATACAAATACAAGCACAGGGGGAAACATTCCTTCTCCTCTCCAGATACTCTCAGAGGGCTCCTGACTCACTGACCACTCTGAGGTGTCTGGGAGATTCTGGCCATGCTGCTGCAGCCTGGCACTGCCAGGATGAGCTGCTGGTGCCTCCAGCTGAGACAGGCAGCTTTGGTGGGAAAAACAGCCAAATTCTTTAGGTGGGGCTGGGCAAAGAGCATGTCCAGGCAGGAATCTGCGCTGGTCCTCTGCCAGAGGGGGATGCTCCAGGTAGAAGCGGTGTAAAGGAGGAGATAAAACTGGAGGAGATAAAACTGGAGGAGATGAAACTGGAGGAGATGAAACTGGAGGAGATGAGGTCTGCAGAACACACGTGGATGTGCCTGCCCACACGTGGGGTGATGTGTTTGGGGATGACATGAGGATGACTGTTCATGGCAAGCAGAAGGTTTGGGCAGGAGGAGGAGAGGGAGAGGCCCTGACACACCTCGGGACTGCCACATCCACAAACCATTCCTGCTCCTTGCCAGGTGACAAGGCCCAGGAGGTGCTGCTGCCTCCTCTGCAGGGACAGAAAGGAGAACTGGGTCACCTACAGTCAGGAGCAGCGCTGAGAGGAGGTCAACCCTCCAACCCCTTCCTTTTCCTGGCCAGAGATGAACCCGGGAGGGAAACAGCTTTAAAAAGACCCCGAGGGCACCAGCCCGTGGCATCCCTGGTGCTCAGCACACCTCTCCTTTGGGATGCGGGGAAGGGAAGCCGCCACTTTCGCTTTTTATTCTGATTATTATTCATTGCTGTAACCGCACTGACAGGATGCTGGGCAGCTTGTTTGTCTCCCGCAGACATCCTGGCAGGAGAATTCCTGTGACCCCGGCTATCAACTCCTGCAAGAGGCGGGGAGCAGCCCGAGCCCTTTATTTTCTTTAACATACAATTTAATGCTGGAGCAAGTTCAGAGAGGCGATCTCCGTCCGTGTCAGCGGCCGATAAGAAGAAGAATGGTTTGGCAAAGCAAATCGCCCCCGGAGTGTCCCCACTTTGCAGCGGCACATCCTGCGTGGGAATGGGGGGAGGCTGAGGCTGAGCCCATCTCACCCCGCCCTGCTCTGGCCTTTGTCTGAATCCCTGCCTTGAGCTGGGGCCATTGGAGCCCTGGATGAGATGGCAGCAGAGGTTTTTCATCTCTCTCTTTTTCATTTCTCTCTTTCCATCGTGTCGTGGCCATAAACCCCAAGAGCCACCCAAAAATGATGGGGAGGAAACACCCAGGCACCTGTACGGGCGCAGGAGGTGCAGAGAGCTCTCAGGGGCAAAACAAGTGGGCATTTTTGGGTTCGCAGCACTGTTTGCCACCTCCTTTCTCCCTTCCCAAACCAACACCTGCTCTGAGCTGCACTTTTCCCATTTTTCTTGCAGCTCTTCCTGGAGAAATACGGCTACTTCAGCGGGCCGGGGGCCGGCAGCCACAGCCCCGCCGAGTTCTCCGAGGCGCTGAGGTGGGAGCCCCAAACTCGGCAGCTCCGGCTGCAGGGATGCTGCCGGTGCTCCGAGGGGTTTTTTTTGGTTGTTGTTGTTGTTTTTGCAGCCAGAAGGGTCTTTTCGCAGCTGGAGGCTCTCTGTCTCACGGTCTGATGCTAAAGCACAGCCTGTCCTTTTTGGAAAGGCAGGTCTGTGCCTGGTTCCCCAGCTGGGTGCTGGTTGCTGGCACCCGCCTCTCGCTGCTTTATTTGCCTTTTATGGCCCGCTGCTCGCCTCGCAATAAAATCTGGGGGGAGGCCGAGCTTGGGGATGGCTGGGAGATGTCACGGGGGGAGAGCTGCCAAATCCTGCCTGGGCTTCTCCTAAGGACATCACTTTGGCTCTGGGAGCATCCCGGGCTTGACCTCGTGCGAAGCTAAATACCAAATTAAATGAGACGTCAAATAACTGGGGTTAAAAAAAGCACTTTTGGGCTCTATTTTTAAGCTCCTTTACCCTGCTAAGAGGTGACTAGCAGGTCAGCTGTGGTTGCAGAGCCAAATCATTGTTTGACCACGGGGATGAAATTCTGGGGTGTGAAGCTTACGGGGTGAAAATCCTGGCACAAACAGACCCAAACCCCTCCAGCACAGGGGTCTGGATGTGGCTGCTGACACATCCCTTTTTTCTGCAGGGATTTCCAGCGGGTGACCCACCTGCCGCTCAGCGGGGTGCTGGATGCCCCCACGCTCCATCAGATGGCTCTGCCCAGGTGTGGCACCCACGACGGGCACGGCCGCGCTGCCGGGGCACCGCCCGCCCGCCGCCGCCGCACGGCACGGCACGGTGAGCACCGGGGCTCCCGTTGGGGTTTGGGGTCCGGGGTGCTCGGCTCTGCCCCCTGGAACTCATGGGGAAGGTGCTGTGGGTGGGAGGTGCAGCCCAGCTGGCACAGCGTCCAGCCCAGGATACACTGGAGGTTATTTTTAAAGCTTTTTCTTTTTGGTTGGTCTCTGTGGCTTGATGTCGGCGGCGATTTGAGATTGGATTCCAAATTTTGGGGGATTCAGCTCTCTGGGGTGGTTTTGCTGCTGCTGTGGGAGCCAGGACATCTCCCAGAGAGCACTCAGGTCACCGTGGCCCCACACCCAGCTGTGCTGGCATGATCTGGAGGGCAGAGGCTGGCACACAGTGAAGTTATCTCCAGGTTTTGCTGATCTTTGGGACTTCTAATGCATATTAAGGATGCAGCAGTAACCAAAAACCTGCCAGGACTTGGCAGCCTGACCTGAGAGTCATTTTATCCATGTTAAGGGATTTAACTCTTCTCCAAGCATCCCTCTGTGCTCCTGTGTGTCCAAGACTGGGCCTCTCATCCCTTGTGAGCTCTCTTTGGGCTTGCAGATGAGTAACTGGATTCCTAGAGAGCAAGAGGGCCAGGACCAGCTGTGCTTAGGACATGGGAAAAGCGAAGGGGAGATTAAGAGGATGCTCTGTGCCGTGTCAGGCTGCCTGTGCATCTGGTAGGGCTGGCCACAGACAGCCCCAGGAGAGCCCTGTCATCCTCCTCCAGCCTCTGGATTTCCTTCCAAAGCCCCAGCATGTGTCCCTTGAAGGAGCCATCCAGTGCCCAGGACACGTGGGCAGTGAGCAGAGGAGGAAGGGCATACAGCAGGAGGTGGGCAAACAGAAGCAGCCAGCGCCCTGTGGCTCATGAGGCGCCTTTTTGGGGATCACAGAAATGGGTGGGTGGCAAGAGATGCCCAATGACTCAAGGAAAGGGCAGGAAAGGGCTCAGGTTATTGCTCTGGTGATCTGATGCCACAGGCAGCGGGGATGGGACAGCAGCACATCTGTACCCACAGGCTGGATGGGAGACAGGCAGTGCCTGCAGGGCTGGTGGCACTGGCCAGGAAGGCTGGGGGAGGCTTTGTGCTGTTTATCCTGCTTGAAGCAGGAAACCCTGGCAGCTGAGCCAGCAAAGGGCTTTGTTATCCACCCTTTCCCAGCGGGATCTCCCCTGGGCAGCCTGTGTCCCTCATCCCGCTGCCTTGGGGCACACTCAGAGCCCAGCACGGGGGCAAAGCCAAGCCCTGCTCTTCCCAAAAGCCAGCCTTGCCCACCCTCCTCTGGTGGTGGATGCTCAGCTCCTGGGGAGGGAAGGATGGGATGCCAGGCTTGGTTTTAGGGCTGCTCTTTGCTTTTAGCTTTTGCTGTGCAGAGTTTTCTGTGTGTCCCTTTGGAGCTGGAGGCCACCACTGCACTGACGAGCAGTGGGAACTGATTCTGTCCCCAGGAGTATGACCAGCTGGCCCAGAGTGTCCCCAGCCGTGGGGAGAAGGAGGCAGAGCTGGGGTGGGATGTGTGCCAGCTTTGTGTGCCAGGTTTGCTGGGAGGCTCAGCTCAGAGCCAGAGCAGGGAGCCCCAGCGTGCTGCCGGCTCTGTTCCCCTTGTTTTCCTGCACATCTGGAGCAGAGGCAGATGCTGGAGTTCTGTCCCCACTCCCACGCCTCAGCACCAGCTCTGGCACCCACATCCCCCCAGGGCCCCACGGCTTTTTTCCTGCTCCCAGATGCCTCCAGATAAATGTAATCCCAGGGCTCTGGGGTCCCACAGCTGCCGAGGGGTGCTGGAGGAGGAGGAGGAGGAGGAGGAGGAGGAGGAGGAGGAGGAGGAGGAGGAGGAGGGGGCTGTAATGCTGCTCAGCAACTTTGTGAACTCTTATCTTCGCCCTCCTGTGTGGTAGGGGGTTGGGGAGCTTAGGGGTAGTCACAACGCTTGTCCCCTTCATCCTTGTCCCCAATTGTCCTGGTAGCATCAGGGCTCTGTTTCCCCTGACAGCTTTTAAGGAGGCCTTGGGCACTAAGCCGTGCCCCCAAGGTGCTGCTGAGAGCCTTTCCCACTCCTTTACCCTTCTCCTGCCTTTTCAGAGGTGGCTTTGATTGCTCTCCCTGAAATCCAGCCCTTGGGCTGCACCTTCTGGACGTGAAGCTGCCATCAGGCAGCACCTCCTGGCAGGGACCCATGCTGGATTTGGCTCTGTGAACCAAAGTTCAAAGTTGGTGCCACAGCTTCTCATCTCCTCAGAGAGGTTTCAGGGTGTCTTGGTTTGAAAAGACAGGAGTCTGTGAAGCAAGGCAAAAGCCTCCTGTGAAATGGAAAAGGTAAACCCCCTCCCTCCGAATTACCACAATTTTAAAAAAGGCTCTCAGGCAAAGATATGGGAATGGGAATAACAGTTCTTTACTAGGAGAAAAACTAAATAAAAATAATAATAATAAAAAAATGTAATTAGTACAAACAAAAGTAGTGATGGAGTCAGAAACCTGACACCCTGAGGAGTCAGGGTGTTGGTAATGTCCAGTTAAATGGTGGCTGCTCCTCCTGGAGTGGCAGATGAAATGCTGCTGAAGTGGGGATCTCCAGAAGGGTGGAGTTTTCTCTGAAGGTCTGGTAGTAGCTGGACCTGGTCTTCCTCTGGAATTTCAGCAGAAAAGAAGCTGCTCCTCTGGGAATCCAGCGAAGTGGCTGCCAGTGTCCCAAAAAGTGCCAATTTTATGCAGGTAGGGCTGCTTGGCTCCTCCCTCTGGGTGGAGCATCTCACCATGGGCTGATGTAACTTTACCAGTCATGCAGTGAGTCATTAATGGCCCATTAACAGAAGATATCTCCTGGAGGGAGACATTGTTCTTGGGAGAGATAAGAAAACTGCCCAACCTCCAACAGATGGCAATAGAATACATGCTTATCTTACAAGCCAGGACACAGGGTTTGGTTGCAACTCCAGCCTTGGGTGAGCTCTAGCGGGGCGGCACCTTCAGAAGGATTTAATCGCGGTGCTGCAGCCGCCTCAATTCTCGCTTTGCCTTGGGAAAACCACAACACTTCCATGAAGTTTTCTTCCGCTCAGGCAGCCCCTGGGTGTCGGGAGAAGGCCAAGTGGGCGCGCTGAGCCTGTCCCGTTGCAGGTGGGCGCTGGTACAAGCGGCACCTGACGTACCGGGTGGTGAACTGGCCGTCCTACCTGCCGCAGCACGAGGTGCGCCTGGCCGTGCGAGCCGCCTTCCAGCTCTGGAGCAACGTGTCCTCGCTGCGCTTCGGGGAGGCGCGGGGCGGCCCCGCGGACATCCGCCTCACCTTCTTCCATGGAGACCACAACGACGGGCTCAGCAACGCCTTCGATGGGCCAGGTGCTGGTCGCTTCCCCCTCGTAAGCTTCTCTTCTACAACGTGGGCTCTTCCCCGGCAGGGAGGAGGGCTGGGTCTTCTGGTGAGACCCCAGCAGTGGGAAAGTCTTTGTTCCCCTAGCCTGGCAGCCAAAGAGGTCTGGGATACGTGAAGTCGAGTTTTCAAAGTTGTTTATTTCTCCTCGTCTCTAATATTTTCTCTCTGACCTGAGGTCTCCCTAGTACAGAAGCCGTGGCAGTCTGGCGTGCCCTCTGAGCGGTATTTACCTTTTATATCAAAAGTTACGTATAATCTGTATCAATGCACCAATTTCTAACACCTATGTTGGACAGTGTGTCCCTATTCTAACCAATAGAAAAGTGTCACCATCACACCAAGACATGGAGGACAAGAAGAAGGAGAAAAAGGCTAGGACACACCCAAATTCCTCCATCTTGTACCCCTGAATTACATTCTAAAAACCCCAAAGTTCTACTTTTCCACCCTGTGTCAATTCCCCTATTACACTACTCAAACCCTTTTGGCTTGTAATTCCTCATATAGAATTGGCAGCCTCTCCCATGGGCTAAAATCGAAGGAACAGGTGTTTTTGACTTCTTGCCAGGGTCTCCAAGCCCCCTGCCAGGATCTTGAGACAGCCAGGGCAGCCAGAGGGATGTGCTGGACTCCGACAGGAGGAAAGTTGGGCTTGTGGTGGGCTGGGGGTGATGGAGGCTCCGCAGTCTCTCTAGCCCAGTTTGCACCAGTTTGCTGTCTGATTTGGGGTCCCTCCTCCCAACTTTGCGGCTGAGATCTGCCAGCAAGGTGGCCGAGACGTTCCCTACAGACCCCTGAGGAGCCCTCCAAAGACGGGCTCCTCCAGGAACACCCAAACCTGACGCACACTGAGGCAAGCCAGAGGCGCGTGTGCCGTGGCCCCTGATGGCTCTGGTGTCCCCAGGAGGTGCCCTGGCCCACGCCTTCTTCCCCCGGCGAGGAGAAGCCCACTTCGACAGCGCCGAGCGCTGGTCCCTGCACAGCGGCAAGGGCCGCAACCTCTTCATCGTGGTGGCCCACGAGGTCGGGCACACGCTGGGGCTGCAGCACTCGCCCGTCAAGAGCGCCCTGATGTCTCCCTACTACAAGAAGCTCAGCAAGGATTTTGTCCTCAGCTGGGATGACATCTTGGCCATCCAGAACTTGTACGGTGAGCCTGGCTTCCCTGAGCATCCCTTGGGTTCCTCCAGGGTTGTTCTCTGGGATGGAGAACGAGCAGCAGGGATGGTCCCTGAAAGGGAAGAGGACTACAGCCACGTGGGCCCCATCCCTGTGTGTGGCTGGGGAGGAAAATGCAGGAGAGGTGGGACAGGTACCAGGGCCTCCAGGGCAGGGAAGGTTGGATTTGCTGCCCACTTGTCTGTTGGTGCATGTTTTTTGGGGTACCAAGGGATTTTTGCCACCATCATATAGAGTGGGATAGGAAATTACAATGGGACGAGGAGTCTTTGGAGTCTTGGGAGTCCCAGCCTCATGTTTTGGGAAAAGTTGTTTCTCTGTCCCTTCCCTGGGCTCACCACCCCTTATTCCATCCCAGGAAAGCCCTCCAAGGGCTCAGCTATCCAGCTCCCAGGGAAGGTCTTCACTCACTTCCAGGACTGGAACATGGACCTTCACGGCAGGGACCGCCAGCAGAGGAGCCTCAGCACCTATTACTGCCACTCCTTCTTCGATGCCATAACCGCCGGTGGGTGTTGGCCAGTGTGACCCCCTCCCAAAATGTGCACCCCTACCCCTTGTCCCAGTGCTGCTGCAGCTCCCAGTGCTGGGAAGGGTGGGTTTGGCTGGTGCACAGCTCCTGGCACTGGTGGCATCACCGATGGACAGTGAAGCAGTGCACCTTGAGGGCACAGCGATGTGTCGGGAGCAGGGAAAACACCCAAAAACTTGGGCCATGGCAAGGATTAATCACTGCAGGAGCTCAGCTGAGCAAGATAAGCCTTGAACTGTGGCCAGCATTTATCTTCTCATGCCTGGAGGAGAGGCAATGAATTCTGGATGCCGAGGGGGTGGCTGGAAAAGCAGAAGGAAGCATCCAAACCCTGAGGATCCCCAAAGCACCACAGGGCTGCACGGGGAGGACAGGGGATCTGGGTAGCAGTGGAGGGTGCTTCAATAACATTTCTCACCTGGGGCACCCTCCCTCTGCCTCACAGACGGGGATCACAACCTCTACATCTTCAAGGGAAGCCACTACTGGGTGGTGTCAGCCAGTGGCAACGCCAGTGACCCGCGGCCGCTGCAGCCACGCTGGCCCGGCCTCCCCGCCGGCATCGACGCCTGCGCCTGGTCCCAGCTCACTGGGAAGTTCTACTTCTTCAAAGGTGGGTGAGGCACGGGCAGGAGACTCCCCTCGGGGCTGCCACTGCTCCTGCCTGCCTCCTGTGTGGCTCTCTGGGTCTGGCTGGAGCCACACAGTTCATGTTGTGTCCCCTCCCAGTGCGGAGCTGGGGCATTGCTGCGTCCTGGGTGTGCGGAACCCTGGGCTTGGTGCCCTCTCACGGGTGAGCCACGTGGCCCTGGCAGCCACATCACCTCTGGTGCCTCAGTTTCCCATCAGGAGAGCAGCACTCGCTGGTGTGTCAAAGCAAATCCAGGTGCAGCTGTGGGTCTTTGGGGAGAAATTGCCCCCCAAAACACGAGGTGTGGGGGAGTGCGTCGGGGTTTCATGGTGCACATGGATCCCTGTGCTGTGCCTGGAGCTGCCCCAGGAGCTGGGATACCATCCCTAAACCGCCCCAGGAGCTGGGATACCATCCCTAAACCACCCCAGGAGCTGGGATACCATCCCTAAACTGCCCCAGGAGCTGGGATACCATCTATGAGTTACCCCAGGAGCTGGGATACCATTCCTAAACTGCCCCAGCAGCTGGGATATCATCCCTAAACCGCCCCAGCAGCTGGGATACCATCCCTAAACCGCCCCAGCAGCTGGGATACCATCCCTAAACCGCCCCAGCAGCTGGGATATCATCCCTAAACTGCCCCAGGAGCTGGGATACCATCCCTAAACTGCCCAGGAGGTGGGATACCATCCCTAAACTGCCCCAGGAGCTGGGATACCATCCGTGAGCTGCCCCAGGAGCTGGGATACCATCCCTAAACTGCCCCAGCAGCTGGGATACCATCCATGAGCGGCCTGGCAGCCAGATGGGGAGAGGAAGGTCAAACCAGGCAGCCTGGCTGCCAGGGTCAGCCCCAGCTTTAATGGAAACCAGTCACTGGCTGTTCAGAAAAGGGGCTTTGTGCTGCAGCTGGGTGAGAGCCAAAGCCCCTCTGCCTCCCCAGCCCTCACTGCTCCCTCTGTCCTCCCCAGGGCTGCGTCAGGCTGCGCCTTGGGAGCAGAAAGGGGCTTTTGTCTGCCCTGTTGTGGGGACAGGGTACCGTGGGGACAGCCAAGCCACGGGTCCCCATGGCAATTCCTGCTGCAGTGCTGGTTTTGGATGTCCCAACCTCGGCTGGATCTGTTTCTGTCTGTCCCATCCGCTGTGCAGGGTCAGGGGGGAAGTCTGCCAGAAGCAGCATGGTGGTGGCCTTGGTGGTCCCTTCCCATGCCTTCAAGTCCCTGAGCTGCCGTGCCTCAGTTTCCCCCCAGCCTGGTCCTTGGGGCTGCCCTGCAGTTGTTCCAGGCGGGTCACCAGTGGGCTGGATGTCAGTGACCACCACAGGGCTGGTCCCGTGGCCGAGTCTGCCCACATCTGGAGCTGGTCCTGCCCTGGACCCCGCTGGGCTGTGCCCTAACCCTGCCCGCTCCCCGCAGGCGGCCGATGCTGGCGCTACGCGGGCTCCGAGCTGGAGGCAGGATTTCCCCGAAAATGCAGCGCCCTGGGGCTGCCCCGGCACCCGGACACCGCTCTGTACTTCCAGCAGCTCCGCCGCCTCGTCCTCTTCAAAGGCCCCAAGTACTTCGTGGTGGGCGAGGAGCCGCTGGGCGTGGAGCCCTACTACCCCCGCAGCCTGCGGGACTGGGCAGGGCTGCCCGCGGGCACGGCCGGGGCTGTCCCCCACCGCCACGGCTCCGTCTACTTCTTTCGGGATGATCAGTACTGGAAATTCGACCAGGCCAAGCTGAGAGTGGTGGCCAGCGGTAAATGGGCCATGGAGCTGGCCTGGATGGGCTGCTGGGATGCCAACAGTGAGCAGGAGGTGCTGTGAGCACGGCGTGATGGGTGACACGGGGATGGACCTCGCCTGGATCCCTCTTGGTGTGACTCTGGGGTCCTGTCTGAGGGTGGAGCCGTGGGACGGAGGAGCAGTGACCCAGCAGAGCTCGGGTGCAGTGGGACAGGTGTGCCACAGCCAGGTGACCTGCAGGCTTTGGGACAGGATATTTTACACAGACCACAAAAATGATATGTATCAGCCGTGGAGACTGCAAACACACCCATTTCTGTTAACTTTCAGGATATTGTTACACGTGTGTTTCAAACCAGGACTGGGGTTTGGTGATACTTTTTGATATCTTTGTTGATACTTGTTGATATCTGTCATTTCCCACAATCAGGTGGAGAAGCGTCTCGCTGCTGCTTGCTTTGGGGTTTGGATGGTTTTCAAGAACAGGCTGACAACATCTCCTGCTTAAAACTAAAAGAAAGGAGATATTTGGACAAAAATTCGGGTCCATGTGGAGCTTTGCCCCTGCTATTTGTTCAGACCCTGGGGTATGGAGGGTTGGGGATGCTTTGCTGGGCTGTGCTCACATCCCAGTGCTCTGCTGAGGCAGCACCACAGTGGATTTTGGGGCTGAAGGCAGCGGGGTTTGGGGTGGAGAGAAAAGGGGGGCTCAGCTGAGCTCTGGCCATGGCACGGTGCAGCTCCCAGGCAGCAGGAGCATTGCCTGTCAGAGGGGTTTGGGGGGACTGGGAGGGTCCTCCCGTGTCTGACAAGGGCTGTGCTCAAGGGCAGCCCCCCCTGTGTGCACAGAAAGTGTCTGTGCTCTGCTGCCTCTGCAAGGGACACAGGATCAGCGAATTTCTGAGTCCCTGGGCCCCACCCGGATGAACGAGGGTGACAAATCACTGGGGGAGGAGGGGAAGAGGAGAGGCTGAGCAGGACACAGGACATGCCTGTGCATGCAGGCCCACGGGGACAGTGTGGCTGCATACTCCTCATTCCTTTCCCAAGGCAGACTCCCCACCTGGAAACGCTGCAGACTCCTGGGCAGGGTCACCAGCGGTGTCTGCAAAGGGCCACGGTGTCCCAGGGCTGGGGATGGACCTCAGCTTCCCAGGGCTGGAGTTCTGAGGGATTGGTGCTGAGCAGGACAGGGCTCAGCTTTGTGAAATGATTTATTGAAACCATGTGTGCAGGTTCTGCCAGGACTCAGAGCCCAGCAGCTCTGCTCCTGCTGTGCCACGTCAGGGTGCTGTGCTGGGTGCCACGCCAGGGTGCTGTGCTGGGTGCCACGTCAGGGTGCTGTGCTGGGTGCCACGTCAGGGTGCCCTCCTCATGCCAGCAGCTTCCAGGATTCCTCTTTTCCTCATCTTTTCCCTTTCCAGACCTTCCCTGCAGAGCAGGGTTTGCCCCAAGCCGGATGCCAGGGCTGGTACTTCCTGAGGGCTTTCGGTGCTGCCAGATGCCAGCTGAGCTGTGGGTTTGGCAGGATGGGGAGCCAGCACTCTTCCCATTCCCCAAAACACTTGTGAGTGAGCCCTTCATGTGCAGACAGAGACACAGAGTCTTCACCTGCCCAGAACCTCAGGGGATTTTCCACATTGCCAAAGAAACACACATTTTCATAGGAACTGAATGATAATAGGGCGAGGTGGCCTGCAGGGAGTCCCAAGGGCTTGGAGACTTGACAGCAAATAAAACCAACCTCTGGATCTGTGGAACTGGGATTTGTGCTTGTTTTCATGTCACACTTTGGGTTTGGGTTGTTTTTTTCAAAGCAAATCTCCAGCTTCCTGACAGGGCTGTGTTTAAGATGCCTGTGGGTGTTTGGGGTTGGAGAGGGGATTGCTGAATTTGGCCTCAGCTTTTATGTTGGCAGGATCAAAAAGGGGAGATGGATCCCACTGAAAACTCACTGATGGCAATGAAACATGGAAATTCTCTTTCTTACTTCGTCCCCAAATTACTGAGGATTTTTCCATGCTTTGGGATATATTAATGGGTTTTTTCCCCAGGCTGAATTAATTCATTATCCCTTTTCCTGTCCCTTTAGGAGAAAGCCAGGCATCCCATCTGCTGTGTGACTGGAGGCTGAGGATGGGACTACCTCAAATCCTCTCTCCTTTTTGGGTTTCCCATCTCTTCCCTGGCTTGTTGCCATGTGTTTCCTGGGGCTGTGTCCTGTGGGATGTTTTGGGGCCCTGAGATGCTGTCAGGGCTGGGCTGAGCTCAGCATTGCTGGCAGAGGCAGCAGGGGTCACTCCACTGTGTCTCCTGTACCCCATCAGTCTGGGGGGTCTGGGGGAGGTGAACTCCCACCCTGAGCCTTTCAATCCACCCCTCCCTGGGTGCCCTGGATGGAAATCCAGCTTCTCAAGGGTTCTTTTCTCCTGCTGGGCTCCCTGGCTGGGCACATCAGGCGCAGACTCCTCCGGCCTGGCCTGCCACACATTCCCCAAACAGAATAGCTGGGATTCCTGCATTCCCTCCCCCAAAATGACCAGTGACATCAGCAGCTGGCTCCAGGACAGGATGGGACCCCACTGCAGCAAGGAGCCCCACAAAGCCCAGGAGAGGCTCTGTTTTGGTCCTGAGGCATCAACACTTCCCTGGTAGATTTGTTTTTGCAGAATTACCTGGGTGCTGTGGAAGCTCTGCAAGGCCTGGGTTAGGGAGGGAGTGTCCCACATTCCCAGAGGTGCCCACTCATGGGCAGTTATTTCCTTAAAGCCCCAACCCCTGGAGTCACTCCAGCCCTGCAGGAGCTTGGCTTTTCCCAAAGACCTCGCTGTTGTGGGAAATGAGGGAAGGAGTTTACAGAGGAGCACAGAGAAGAGAAAGCCCAAAAGTGGGTGTGAAAATAAACCCTTCTCACCTTGGAGTTGCCCTGAACATGCACTTTGTGACCCTCAGGTCACCTCATCTGTGCTGGAGATTGGCCTAGGGGTTTTGGGAAGGGGGAAAATCCCCCTTGTGTGGTTGGGAACAGCTTGGGTACTGATGAGCTGCTCTCTAACTCCTTCCTGCCCCAGAGCCAGGGCCCTTGGGGGGGAAAATCCACCCCTGGCATGGCTGGGGAGCAGCAGGGCTGTGAGAGAGGAGCAGGTGCTGAAGGGTTAACGGGGAGTGTTTGCAGCCAGTCCCTTGTCACCAAGGAGAAGCGATCAGCACTTGGGAAGGAAACAAAACACCCACTGCCCAGGAGGGTGATTTCCTCTCCCCAGCAGCATTACAGCCCTGGGACCCCAGAAGGGCTCTGGACACCACCAGGACACTGTCACCTCACCGAGCAGGTGGCACCAGGTGAGTGTGGCTGCTGAGGAGGCGTGCTGGGCACAGGGCTGGGGCAGCTCCCCACGTCCCCATCATCCTTGTCCCCCTCCTCCCAGTCTTATGGCAGGATGTGGGGGACACCGGGCACGGGGGCACGGAGCATCCGTCCCTACCGCTCCAGCGGGCAGTACCTGTACGCCATGAAGGAGGACCTGGCGGAGTGGCTGAAGGAGCTCTACGGCCTTGACATCGAGGTGGGCACCTTCTTGGAGGTGCTGGAGACGGGGGCTGTGCTGTGCTCCCACGCCAACCACGTCACCCAGGTGGCCGGGGAGTTCGCCCGTGCCTGCCCCGACCTGGCCCGGCACCTCCATCTGCCCACCGCTGGTGTCACCTGCAACCTCACAGCACAGCCAGGCACCTTCCAGGCCAGGGACAACGTCTCCAACTTCATCCAGTGGTGCAGGAAGGAAATGGATATCAAAGGTAGGATGCTCCAGCTGTCCGTGTCTCCGTGTTCGAGTCCCCTGCGGTCACTCCGTGTTTTGCCATGTGTCCCCCAAACCCAGTGCCACCCCGTGTGCAAACATCCCCGAGCTGGCATCCCTTGTAAAATGTCCTCCAGGCTTGGCAGCAGCTTTGCAGGGTGCTGGCACGTGGCTGCAGTGTTTGCTGGGGTGCAAATGTGCACAGGAGGAATGGAAAAGGAAAGGGTGGATGGCACAGCGTGTCCCTGCCAGGCACGGCACGGTCCCAGCCCTAAGGACAGCAGGAGATATCCTGGCTCTGAGCAAAGCGTCTGTCACCCTGTCCTGCCACCATGGATGCCCAGGAAGGGCAGTGGCACAGAGCAAGACATCCTCAGGGCTCTCAGACACTGAATTTTGTGGCTTTGGGGTGCCATGAAACAGCTGTAGATGCCCAAAAGGAAAGGCTTTTCCTCCTTTATCATTTCTCCCAACTCTCGTTGAACCCAGCCATATTCCTGGTGGGATGGCTCCAGTGAAGAGCACTTTTTGGGTGGGTTTTCACTCCATCTGTGCCCCCCATCCCCTTTGTCCCCATCCCCACGTGCCAGCCCTGGCTCAGCCCTGCCCTGCCCTGCCCAGACGTCCTGATGTTCGAGACAGAGGACCTGGTGCTGAGGAAGAACGAGAAGAACTTCGTGCTGTGCCTGCTGGAGCTGGCACGCCACGCTTCCCGCTTCGGAATGCGCGCCCCGACCCTGGTGCAGATGGAGGAGGAGATCGAGGAGGAGCTTCGGCAGGAGCTGGACCTGCCTGCCACGGAGCCCGCCCTGCCCCGGCCCCCCAGGAGAACACGGGACCTCAACAACCTCGACCAGATGGTGCCGAGGGGCAGGGGTGGCATGGAGATGGGCAGGGAGATGGATGGGGATGGGCATGGAGATGGGCATGGAGATGGACATGGAGATAGGCATGGAGATGGATGGGGATGGGCAGGGAGATGGATGGGGATGGGCAGGGAGATGGGCATAGAGATGGATGGAGATGGGCATGGAGATGGGCATGGAGATGGATGGGGATGGTCATGGAGATGGGCATGGAGATGGGCATGGAGATGGATGGGGATGGACAGGGAGATGGGCATGGAGATGGATGGGGATGGGCAGTGAGATGGGCATGGAGATGGATGGGAATGGCATGGAGACAGATGGAGATGGGCATGGAGATAGGCATGAAGATGGATGGAGATGGGCATGGAGATGGAAGGGGATGGGCATAGAGATGGATGGAGATGGATGGAGATGGATGGGGATGGATGGGGATGGCACAGCCAGCCCAGGACCGTTTCCCAGCAGCTCTGGTGAGTTCCCATCCCTGCCACCCACAGGTCCAGCACCTGGTGAGCCGCTGTACCTGCCCTGTCCAGTTCCCCATGATCAAGATCTCCGAAGGGAAATACCGGGTGGGGGACTCTGACACCCTCATCTTTGTCCGGGTGAGTCTGCTTCACCCCTGCTTTTGGGGGAAAGGCATCAGGAATTCTGCTCTGCTGCCACGATCCTTTTCCATAACCCCCCAAAGGGGCCTGAGTGGGAGTTTGGACCATTATTGCCAAAGCAGGGCAGCAGGGGAGCTCAGCCCTGTGATAGGTGTTGGTATGGATTTAACCATACATGTTGGATGGATTTAACCATCCACCCACCCATCCATCCATCCATCCATCCATCCATCCATCCATCCATCCATCCATACATCCACCATCCATCCATCATCCATCCATCCATCCATCCATCCATCCATCATCCATCCATCCATCCATCATCCATCATCCATCATCCATCCATCCATCCATCATCCATCCATCCATCCATCCATCCATCCACCCATCCACCCATCCATCATCCATCCATCCATCATCATCCATCCATCCATCCATCCATCCATCCATCCATCATCCATCCATCCATCCATCCATCCATCCATCCATCCATCATCCATCCATCCATCCATCATCCATCCATCCATCCATCCATCCATCCATCCATCCATCATCCATCCATCCATCCATCCATCCAGCCATCCATCCATCCATCCATCCATCCATCCATCCATCCATCCATCCATCATCCATCCATCCATCCATCCATCATCCATCCATCCATCCATCCATCCATCCAGTGTGTGGGACAAAACCTGGCATTCCACACAGCCACAGCCTGGTCTCACCCCGCCATGGGAACTCTGGGATGTTCTGAATCCATCCCCAAGCCTGGCCAAAGAATTCAGGACGCGATGAAGGACAGGGCTTTTCCAAAAGGGTCCCCCACCTTCCTTGTGGATGGCCGCAGGAGCTGAGCCAGGGACGCAGCCGTCCTTTGGGACACCTGGTGGCACTTAGGGCCACCCCCGGGCTGCTGGCGTCCCCTGGCATGGCCATTCCCGTGCAGATCCTGCGGGAGCACGTCATGGTGCGGGTCGGGGGCGGCTGGGACACGCTGGAGCACTACCTGGACAAGCACGACCCGTGTCGCTGCACCTCGCTCTGTGAGTCCCCGCGTCCCCAAACCCCGCGGCTGCCTGAGGGTGGGGGTGTCCGTGGCTGGTCTCGATGATGCTCGGGGACATTTTCATTACCATGCCTCGTCGTTTTGCTGAGGAATGTCGGGTTTTGGGGACTTTGGTGGCCGCTAGAGGTCATGGAAGACTTTTGGATGGATGCAGACCACAAAAGCCACTTTTCGCGGAGCGCGGCTTTCTGCCGGCACCCCGCGGGGCTGGATGCTGCACCAGGGCTGGGTGGGCTGCAGCCGGGGGTGGGTGGGTGCAGGAGGCGGGGGTGCTGAGCCCCTCGTTGTCCCCACAGCTCACAAACAAGGCTGGAAAGCGCGGAGCCCGCAGCAGCCGGTGCAGCACGAGGTGCGGCTGTGCCCGGCCCCGAGAACCGCCCGCAGCCCCCAGCCCGCGCTGCTGGTCAGCCGCTCCCAGAGCCCCCTGCCCCCCGTCACCTGGGGGGCCCGTGTCACCCCTGGGTGCCCCCGGTGTCCTGCCACCCCCTCACCAGAGGGCTCGGGTCGCCAGCCGGGTGCCAGCCCTCACCCGGAGCCGCCGCAGCCCCGGAGGGTCCCTTCGGGCAGGTAAGTGGTGCAGAGATGCTTTGTGCCCCGAACTGCCTGGCTTCAGAGCAGTTTTCCTCACATTTTTGGAATTTTTCCTCCCCTCCTTTCTGGAGTTGCCCAGCACCAGGCGGGACTGGGGGGATGCAGCAGCTCCCTGGCCCCTCTTCGCTGTCTCTCCCCGCAGGATGCGGGAGCCACCCGCTGTCCCTTTGCGGAGGCAGCCGCCACCATCCCGGTCACCTGCTGGATCCAGCTCCCCTGGGCACGGGGCTCGGGGCCGGGCACCCGTCCCTTCCCGGCTGGGCCCGGGGAAATGCATCCCCGCGGTACCGGCACGGGGCAGGCCCGCAGCACCGGGCCCGCGGACGGTACCGGCACCTCCGAGCAGCGCCCAGCAAGGAGGAAAATCATCTGTGCTGGCTGCCAGGGCACAGGAAACGGGGACACCCACCACAGCGACACCCCGAGACCCCAGTCCCTTCAAGGGCCGTGCCCCCAGTCCCCTAAAGGTCTGCGCCCCCTCCTCGCACCGGGATGCTCCGGGAGACTCCCAGGGCCTGAAGAGCCCACGGGAAGGGAAGCAGGGAGCCCTTGGCCGGGGCCGACAGCCTTCACCCCGAAATTCTTCCAGCCACCCCCCGAAACTGGACAGCGGCGTTAAACCCCCCAGCAAAGGCAGCCCGGCCGCCTCCCGGCCCCCCACCCCTCTGGGCCGTTCCGCAGGGGGGTGCAGGGTCTGTGCTGCTGGGGACTGTCCCCAGGGGACACGGCAGTGCCACCCAGCCCCGGACCCCGGGGCTGCTGAGGTACCTCGGGTGCCAGAGGACGAAGCCAGGGGAGCCTGTGGCGCTGGCGATGGGGCGGGGGGGCTCCGGGGGTGCTGTAGGAACACGCAGCCCCCCGGCTATGACAGGGTGCTGGAGGAGCTGTCCCACGGGCGGCAGCCCCTGCGCCCCGTGGGGAGCCCGGTCCCCAAAAGCCCCGCAGGAGCTGCCCCGGGGGAGGCAGAGCGGCCGGGGGTGGGGGGCCAGACCCCTCGGGCACCCCGGGCCAGCAGCGTGGCCAAGCCCCGGCGGTGCCTGAAGAAGCCCGAGCGTGTGCCCTCCATCTACAAGCTGAAGCTGCGGCCCAAGGTGCGCCCCCGGCGGGACCACAGGCCGGGCAAGCGCCCCTCGCGCATCCCCACCCCGCTGGGACATCGCCCCGCTGCCCCCCGGCGCCAGCAGCGACCCCCGGGGACCCCCCGAGCCCCCCAGACCGGCAGCACACGCCCCACGGCCAAGCCGTCCCTGGGTGACAGCGGCACCTGGCTGAGCGAGGAGGATGAGGAGTCGTGGGTCTGAGCCCGCCCCGAGAGCCGGTGGGGACGGACCGATGGACGGACGGACGGACGGAGCCCTCCCTCCGAAGGTGGCGATGCTGCAGCTGCAGCTGCCCGAGGTTTCCCAGGGCAGCACGAAGGAGTCGCTCCCACACAACCCAGGGTGCCCCACCTCCCTTTTCAAAGCTGCACCCCCTCCTTCCCAGTGGATTTTGTCTGTACTGGTAATCCTGCTAAGCAGGCACTTTCGTACTGGTTTGGGTGGAAAAACCCAGCCCCAAATGGAGAGAATGGGATATTTTCTGCAGGGGGAAAGGTTTAGGCCCCCTGAAGTGGGGACAACCCGTCCTTGACATCCATAAAAACCATCTCATACCTCAGTGCTCCCCATCTGCACCGCGGGATGGTGTCAGACAGCTCCAAGAGCATCATCAGTCACTCAGGTTGGGGGGCACAGGAGGGGACCCTTCCTGACCCCCGTGCTGTGTGGGGGGTGATGGATGTCACTGAGGGTCACAGCAGGCACTGCTGCACCCCCAGCACAGACCCAGCAATGCTGTTTGTGCAATAGAGATGTGCCAAAACTCTTCCATTTCCACATCTTTTCTGTGTGGGTGGGGAGGGAGAGAGGATAATCCTCATGTGGGCACAGCAAACGTCCCCCTGAGAACCCCACAATGCCCAAGAGAGTCTCATTTTCCACGAGAGGATGAAGTCAGCCCCACTTCCCTGCAGAGGAGCAGCAAATGTGAGCGCTGGGAGTGCGGGAATGCAAAAACACTCCTGAGGCTGGTACAGAACAAGGGGGACAGACCTGATTTTTAATTCCATTTCAAAGAAGGAGGTGCAGGGCGTCACAGGTGGTGCAGACACCTCGGGAATCTCTGACAAGGAGTCCAGGGGGGAGAGGAAAGCCAAGTCCAGGCAACTGGGATACTCACTGGGGCAGGAGGAGGAGAGGGACAGGGAAGCATCCTTGGTGGGGTCGAACCAAACCCAGGCATCGCCTCCACGAGCACGGGGGCAGAAACCTGGCACTGCCCTGGGCACAGCAGTGGGGACATCCCAGCCCATGCCAGGCCCAGGCTGCTGTCAGCAGGACCAGGGTGGCGTTGGGTAAATCTGTAGTAAGGTGTGAGTAGGGTGCTCCTGTGTGCTCCAATCCCTGGGCGTGGACACCCCGGATCTGCCTGCCTGGGGTTCCCTGCCTGCACCCAGGGTGCCACCACCACCACCTGCCCCTTCCTGGGCTCTTGGGGAAGTAACTCTTTGTAGCCCTCGTTTTCCCGGGAGCTGGGAAATGCTGTCGAAGCAGTGAGAGTTGTTATTATTACTAATATAACTTCCTCTGTCTATAAAGTACAATAGAATATAACAATTATATTTATAACCTTTTTTTTTTTCTTCAAAATACTAAATAGATGCTATAAAAACCTGTAACTAATTGTGCTATAAACTGCAGGCTACAGGGTTATAACAAACAATGTATTGGCTTAGTCGTTGATATGTGTACGTCAGAGCACTTTATAAATGCTTTATTATTAGCATTTACCAAGGAATTTCCTTCTCAGACAATTTGGAGGGATAAAGCTCTAGCCAGGGATCGATAAGTGGACTTACATGTGTTAATAAATCCTGACAGGATGAGCTCAGACAGGGCAGCCGGGTTTGCCATGAGGGTGAGAGATGGTGACAATGGTGACAATGCCACTGCCCTTCCTGGCTGAGATGGACCCGTGCCCCCACATTGCCTTTCCTAATTTTTTCCTTTTTTTTTTTTAAATTTTGGAGCAAGGGGTTTGACTCCCTAAGCGGGGAGGGGGGAGCAGGATGTACCCCCAGTCCTGGCACAGGGGTGGGGTGGTGAGAGGCACTGGAGCTCAGAGCTGCTGGGCCATGGACACCTGGCTGTGGTGGCACAGAGGGCTGGCTGTCCTGTTCTGCTGCCCAGAGCAGTGCTGAGCCCATCCAGCTCCTTGTGACAGCAGGAATCACGGAGATGGTTTTGCTGGAGGATGGATCAGACACAGATCCTGCCTCAGGAGATGAGGATGGTGTTTCCCTGTGTCTCACAGGGACCAGCCATGGAGAAACCACGACCCTCTTGGCATCTTGCTCTCCCTTCACCACCCCATCATCATTTCCTAACAGGGGCTGCCCTTTGGCAACCCACCCTACAGGGCAGGATGCAGGTGAGCTGCAGCTCTGGTGCAAACATAAACCAGAAGATTAAAAAATAATAATAAAAAAATTAAAAAAAAAAAAAAAAGAGGGGCTCACTTTCCTATTAGGGATATGCAAAGAGGAAAAAAAAAAAAACAAAAAAACACCAACAAGAATACAACTGGAAGTGCTGCTCCAGCTCCCTGTTGCTGCCGAGGCAACATCCCTGTGAGAAAACCCAGCAGGGTCGGACCTGGTGGTGCTGCCGGGGGCATGGGGGGCACAGGGGGCACAGGGGCACCCCGGGGAATGCCCACCTGCCCCAGACACCCCGGGGATGGGTGAAGCCATCACCTGCTGAGCCCAGGACGAGAGGTAGCAGAGGGGAGACCTGCCCGGCAAGGAGTGTTCCCAAATTATTTGCTGTTCACAGGCTGAGGGGAGGAGAAACCTTCCTGTGCTGGGGTGTGCTGGGGCAGAGGGGAGCTCAGAGCCCTGGGAAGGCAGAACCCAACTCCCGGGGATATCAGGAGCAGGATTGGGACTTAAGTTGGGTTTTTTTTCCACCTTTCTGCTTTCATCCAGAAATTCCACCTGGAAATCTGACCCAACCTGAGCCACAAGACAGCCCGTGTAATCTGGCTGCTCTGCCCTCCCCAGGGAGAAATCCCAGCTCCACAAGGGGAGAAGCAGAACTCCTCCAGAGAGAGAAGCACCCCCAGAGCAGCGGGCTGCAGTGCTGGATAATTCCCTTCCTGGAGCAGGCGATGGCAGGCAGGCAGCACCAGGGCAGGAACTGGCAAAGATGAACCCACAGCCAAAATCTGGCACCCTCTGAGGGCACCCCCTGTCCAACCCCAGGATGGCTTCAGCCTCAAGCGCTGGGAGCTTGGAGAGAGCCCAGGGGTTCAACCAAGGCCATCCCCGTGCTGCCTGCACCACTCCACCCACAGTGCCCCATCCCCAAATGTCACCTCAGCGACCCCCGAGGTGCCTCCAGCACAGCTGCCACCACCCAGGGAGCAGAACCAGGGCCAGATTTGGGGTCCTGGGGACAGGCCTCACATGATGGTGCAGCGGTTCCTGCGCAGCGCGCCCTGGAAGCGGATGGTGGTGTGGACGTGCTTGCAGCGGGCACAGCCCACGCTCTTGAGGAGCTCGCTGAAGAGCAGCAGGATGTGCCAGTTGTACTTGGCCGAGCACTCGATGTAGCCGCACTTCCACGTCTTCTTCACCAGGTTGGAGACGTTCCAGCGCGGGATGACGCGGCCGCGCTGCAGGTCCCGCTTGTTGCCCACGATGATGATGGGTGTCTCCGAGGTGCCGATGACCCTGCGGAGGGAGGGCGGTGGCAGAGGGTGGCAGAGTGACAGCCCGTCCCAAAAGGGCTCTTGGCTCCAAGGGAAGCGTGTCTCATCCCCTTGTCCCTCTCCAGCCACCCCTCGTGCACCCCCAGGGCTCGCTCGGGGCTCACCCCCTGGCACATTAACACACAAACCCACAGCCAGAATGAAGGGCAGCTCCCAGTCAGCCTCCTCAAAGCTCTGCCAACCTTAACCCTGTTTTGTCTCTCCTGGAGTAAGAGTGGAAGGTGTGGATGTGAAGTGAAGGGTGTTGGATGTGCTGCTGGTGTGGAATCTTACAGAGGGCAGCTAATTCTGTTTTCCTGGGAATTCTGTCAGGAATGAGGCAGGAATTCTGACCCTTTGCTGGGCGTTTTGCAGTTCATTTTTGGGGCTGGCAGCAGAGAATCCTCCAGCCCTCCTTGGGTTCAGAGGAACCTGTTTGGTGTCCTGCTCCTCTCTTGGTGTTTGGCCTCCCATGCCTGCAAAGGGGCTTTGTGCCAGTCTGATATCTCATCTGTGATGCCAGCATGTACCCCCGTGGTGCCAAGCTCCCTTGGCAGGAGCCACGGGGCTGTGCCACCGTGGGGATGATCCCAAAGCCACCCCTACCTTGTTTCCAGGATCTGCTGGCGGATGGTTTTGATGTACTCGAAGCTGTCAAAGCAACAGATGTCATAGACCAGGATGTAGGCATGGACACTCCGGAGCCCCCTGCAACACACGTCTGCCCACTCCTGCAAGGTGCAGAGAGGGATCAATCCTGGCTCAGCCCCGCTGCTCTGCCTGGGGGATGCCCTGCCCTGCCCTGTCCTGGGGGTGGGCACCCCAAGGATGCTGCTGGCAGCAGGGGGATGCACATTCCCCAGCCCAGACCCCCAGCCCCCAGCTCTGCCCTGCCCTGGCCCATCTGCATGTGCCCCCACAGCTCTGCAGCCCTCCCCCATCTCCAGAGATCCCTTATCCCCCCTCTCAGTCCAGGGCAGAGGGAACAGGATTTGTCAGCCCCAATTCCATCTCCAGTTCCCAATTGAGATTTGCAGCTCAATTACAGCACAGAGCTGAGCTGGGAGTGGGGCTGAATGCAGCCCCTGCCCTGTGTGGAAGAGCTTCATCCTCCAGAGCTGCTAATTAGCTGTGTTAATTAGTGATGCACCCTGGTTTTGGGGCAGGGCAGGAGAGGAGGATGCTGAGCCCCATCTGAGGTCTGAGGGTGATGCACCAGCAGCTCTGTGGGTCAGAGAGGAAGGTGACAGCACGTCTGTCTGGAGGAGACATGGGGACAGAAGAGGAGCAGAGGCTGCTCAGGAACTGAATCTCTGAGAGCAAGATGTGGATCCAGGGCAGAGGCAGGCAGGAGTGGCCTCTCTGCAGCCAAAATCTGGAGCTGTGAGAAATTCATGCTGTTAGGAAACCCTTGGGTTTCTGGGAACAACTGGATTTTTTTTTTTTTTTTCCATGCAATGAGTGAAAGTCTGCCTCAGCTCAGGCACTTTCCCATCCCAGCAGCGGGACTGGGAACAGGCAGCACTGCAAAACCCTCCTGGGTGCCTCTGGAAAGGAGAAAGGCTCTCCAGGGAGGAAAGGCATCACTTCCCCCTGAGCAGACCCCTCCAGAGCCATGACTGAGCCCTTCCCAAGTTTAGAATCAGAATGACGAGGGGAAAGGGGAGTTTTGGGATGGGGGTTGATCTCCATCACAGAGGGGAAGGAGCTGGGAGGGAGCAGAGTGGCACAGAGTGACACAGCCCCTCCCTGTGCACCCAGGGGAGATGCAGGGGAGATGCTCAGAGATGGAGCAGCAGCCTCTGGGCTCCTCGGAGCGCTGATACATCGGGGACAAAAGGAACTGCAGCGATTTCAGCGGGCTGGGGGGCAGCTTGCTCAGGCCCTGTGGTGTCAGGATGGCTTTCCCCACGCAGTGCAGCCTCCCTGGGATGCTTGAGCTGGAGAAGCAATGCACTGCAGGAGCAGGATGGCAGAGAGCCACCGGACAGCACTGCAGGGATGCTCCTCCTGGCACGGAGCTGAGCCCACCACGTTTCCCAGCAGCCAGAGCTGCATCCCTCAGCACAGCCCCTCTCCTTTCCCCCCGGAGCCATCCCTCTGCTCACCCTCTCTTCCCTGGAAACCTCCATCTGCTCCCAGAGGCCGCCTCCTCTGGAGTGCAGCAAGGCAGGGAGTTAATGGAGTGTGTGAGCCTCGGCTGCCGTCTCAATAAATTACCCTTTGCTATTTCAGGCTGCCTCTCGCGCTGACCTTTCCTTCCCTGCACTCACCCATTAATTTTTAAACCTTCTCCTCGCCCCTGGAGTGCTCATTTCACCTCCTGCCTGATGGTACAGGGACTCTTGGAGCACTCCGTGGCCCCTGTGACTCTGGCCCTGTTGGGGACAGGGACACTGTAACTATTGAGGTGGCCCCACTGCCCTCCAGTGTGGCTGCAGCCACAGCTGGGAACCTCCAGCTCCTTTCCCCACAGTGGTGACACAACTTGAGCCCCTGGGAGTGGGGTTATAGCATGAGCTCAACACCCCCTTTCCCCCATTAATTCCACCCGGGAGTTGTTGGCGCTGGTGGCAGCACTTCCCAACTCCACACTGCCTTTTGGGGGTGCTCTGGAAGCACTGAGGGGGTAGAGGAGGAGTGGTGGGTTCAGAGCTCCAGGAATGAGCCCAGGCAGTGCTGGAGGGGGTGATGGCAGCTCCCAGGAGTGGACAAGCTCTGCCTGGCTTGGGCAGTGGGTGCATCGGGGCTCTGGCTCTCCAGGAACCTCTGGCTTTCACCCAAATGTTCTGCTGCTGGCTCTGACAGCCACAGAACTGGATCCCAGTGCTCCAGGAGCCCAGCTGGACGTGGCTGTGGGCAATGCCAGAGCCACACTCCTCAGAGTGGGATGTCACCTCTCTCGTGTTTGCTGTCACCAGACTTTAAACACTCTTTATCCCGGACCTGCCCAGCCAGCACCCACGAGGACACAATCCCTCATTTAACAACCAAACCCTGACCTGGAGGGGAAAAAGCAGAACTGGAACCCCACAGATTTTAACAGCAAAACCCCAGCACGGGATGGGGGGGATCACCACAGACCCCCAGAGGTGGAGACCCCTGGGGTGCCCCCCTACCTGCAGGGTGTTGACAGGGAAGGCGCTGATGGGGGGAAAGTCCATGATCTGCAGGTCGTGGACGTGGCCGTTCATGACCACGGCGGGCAGGTAGACGCGGCGGGCCGTGGTGGGCACGCAGACCTCGCTGAACTCGTTGTACAGGAACTGCCGGACTATGGCACTCTTGCCCACGCCCTGAGCTCCCAGCACGGCGATCTTGAAGGTTGTCACCATCCCGCTGCACGCCGGCCGCTGCCCCGGTGCTGCCCCCGCGGTGCCGAGGCTGCATATTCCCGAGCAGGGGGCCTCAGCCCCATTCAGGATGCATTTCCCCGCCGGGGCTCCCCGTCACTGCAAGGCCAAGGAGAAGCTGCTCAGGTCCCAGGGACACCCTGAGTTACACCGGTGCTGCTTCAGGGGGTGTTTTTCTGACAATGCACCCATGGGCCTTGGCACTACTGCAGGACCTCAGGGTCTCCTCGGAGCCTCCCAAGCCAGGGAGAGGCAGGATTTGAGTGAACTTTACCGCAGGAAGGTTCTCACAGGCACATTCAGCTCAGGGTTCGCCCAGCCCGGCAGCAGCAGGTCCCAGGCTGTGCTGGGGACTCAGCCCAGCCACTGTCACCAGCTGCTCCTTGCCGGTGCTGTCCCAAGCCGGGAATCCATCATCCCTCCGCTTGGACAGCCGGAATTGCCTTTTGCCGGGCGGGGGGAGATCGCTGCGAGCCTGCGAGCGACAGCTCGAACGTTTCCTTTCAGGCTTTGAACGGCTGGGCAATTAACTTGATGGGAACTCATTTACAAGCCAGCTGACGGGGTGAGCCCAAAGCCACCGCGTGTGCTGAGGCCGGAGGGGCTCCGGGACAGGGCCCACGCGTGGAGGGACACGGGGGGATAACCCACACACAGGGATGTGGGAGCTGAGTCTGAGGAGCCCAAACACCCCCTGGCACCCGACCGGGAGCTGCGATGGGGATGGCACAGGCAGGGGACCCATCCCCGGGAAGCGGTCCGGGCTTTGTCCCAAAGTGTGGATGCTTTGACCAATTTCTGATGCTCTGTCCCATTTTCCCTAAAAGCCATCCCCGAAGCGCAGGGCAGCCGCTGAAAGTGTCAGGTTCGAACACCCTGTTATGCTTGTTTGATGGAGATTATTTACCCCAGGGGGAGCCTGGGCACAGCGGCTCCCGCTGCTGGGGGCTGGAATGGCCGAGCTGCCCGGATCCCTTCGGCTGGGCCACGGCTCACGCCATCCTCAGCCAGGACAGGGGACCTGTCCCCCCGTGCTGCTGGCATGTCCCCCGGGGTGCTGGCTGTCCCCAGCCCCGGCAGCGGGAGGTTTCTGTGCCCTATGCAGGGAAATGGGGGTGCAGGAGCCCCCAGGCCCGACCCCGCCAGGCCTTTCTCCGCCAGCAGACAGCACCGTCACTGCGGGTCCCGGGGGGACACTCTGCTGCAGGGACAGCCCCGTCCCCACCGACCCTCCCTCCCCACAGCAGCGTCCCCAGCTCCTCTGCGGGGCTGGGGGGTGATGGAGCGGCACAACTGGAAACCCCCAGTGCCCGCAGGGGTCCCTGGAATTGGGGGCACAGGCTGAGCCCCGCTGTGCCCCCGCCAGAACCCCAAAACCATCAGAGTCCGACCTGACGGTCCCCGGCCCTACAAGCAGCTACTGCGGGAAACTGAGGCACAGCGGGGGGACCCTTCGGGGCACCCCACGGTGGGGTGCTGGAGCAGGGACCGGCCGCGGGTGCTCGGGCGCTCAGCACCAGGCCGGGCTCGCAGGGGGCTCCCGGGAAAGGCGGCTCCGAACCCCGCTGCGACCTTGGCCACGCAAGGAGCAACCCCTGAGCCCCGTGGGGCGGGGGCAGCCCCCCACATCCTGCACCCCCCTGGGTCGCTGGGGCTGGAGGGCAGCGGGGCACGCCGAGGGGAACGACACCCGCACCCGCCGTGCCGGCGGGCGGAGGGGAGCGGAGAGCACCGGCGCTCAACTTTCCCCCTTGTCCCCGCATCGCAGCCACCCCCGGCCCTGCCCAGCGGGAACTTTGCCCTTCCCGGCGGATCCCCCGTACCTGGCAGCGGCGGCCCGGGCCGGCGGCGCCCCGGCGGGCGGCGGAGCCATGCGGCGAGCCCGGTGCGGGGCGGGCGGCCCCGCTGCAGAGCCCCGGCCCGGCCCGGCCCCCGCCCGGCGCGGCCACACCGGGGGGCGGCGGCGGGGAGCGGGGAGCCCGGCCGGGGCACGGCGGGGGGAGCCCGGAGGTGTCCGGGCGGGGATGGAGGCGGCAGCGGCCGGTGGGATGGCGGGGATGCCCAGGAGGGAGGGAGGGAGGGAGGCAGGCAGGGATGCAGGCAGCGCCCGGGGAGGGAAGGAGGCTCTGCCCAGGCAGGGATGCAGAGGATGCCCGGCAAGGATGCGGGCAGTGCCCTGGAGGGAAGGAGGCAGCACCCGGGAAAGGAGGCAGGGAATGCACAGAGCGAGCCGCAGGAATCCAGCAGAGACACCGGCTTCTCCCGGGGCTCTGGGGAGGCGCCGATGGGAAAAGACCCTCCCATGTCCCCCCTGCAGTGTGCTGGGTGCAGCGGCGTCACCCCTTCCCGGCTCTCATGCCCACCGCGGACGAGTCCCACGGGCCAGACTCGGGGGGAGGTGGGCAGGAGCCCTCGCAGGGAGCTTTCCCTCCTCCACAGCGCTCGCTGTGCTTTGGGCACGTCGCTTCGCCTCCTCCCGTGCCGGCCCTGGCCCGCGGGCGGGGCTGGGGCTTTCTCTGTGCCCGCGGGACCCTGAGCCCCGGCTGGTGGCAGGCCCCACCAAAGCAGGGACATTTCTATTGCAGCGGCTGCATTTTTGGGTCACCCCGCACGGAGCGTTTACCTGCGTGCTGGACAGAGGGAAGATGCTGGCTGCACCTCCAGGAACATGCTCCAGGCCCCCGGGACACGCTGCCGATGGACTTCTGGCACCTCTCTGCTCCCGGAGCAGCCCCCAAGCCCCACTCGGGCTGCCTGTGACACCGGCGAGCACCGAGGTGTCCGCACAGCTCCGGCCGAGCCCGAGCCCCGGCGGCAGCTCGGCCGGGCTCCCCCCAGCCTCGTCAGCACCTTCGGCTGGGAAAAAACATCATCTCCGGGCTGAGGAGGGGTGCAGGGGGAAACACGGCTGGCGGGCACAAGGGCAGCTGGCACAGCCTTTGTGCCACCCTGGTGCCAGCAGCAGGCACAGGGGGTGACAGCCCCCTCACCGTGTCCCACGCTGCAGCCGGGCTGCCGGAGATCTCGGCATTTTCTCCCCGCAGAGCTGCCCGATGCTCGCGGCAGGGGAATATTTATGTGTCCCTGGGGTTGTCACCAGCCCCAGACGCTGCTCCCCTTCCCCGCATCGCCCCAAGCAGCGCCAGCCCCGGAATGTGTCTGGGGGAGCGCAGGGATCGGGCTGCACATGAACTCTCCTGCACAATTCAGGCTCCAGCCTCGGGGCTATTTTTAGCAGTTCCCTCCGAGATGCTCTTCAGTTGCAGTTTTATGTGTGAAATTTAATATACGAGGATGGGGGGGAGGGGAGTGGGGCTGGATCCTGGCATGTCCCTGCTGGCTGGGAGGTTTATCCCAGTCTCAGCGACACGACGAGGCAAACCAAAAATCATCCATCCAAGAGTTCCTGTGTCCTGATGTGCAGGTGGCAGCAGGGGACAGGCAGAGCTGGTGGCTATGGTCAGCTCCTGCCTCAGCCAGATCCAAAATCCTCCCCTGAGTCCCTGTCTCCCCCAGATGGGCTCAGGGACCCGCTGTCCCTGGCAGGGACAGGACGGGTGTGAGGCCAGTGGGAGCAGCAGGGATTTTGGGAGCACAACTCAGGAGGTTTCTGCCCCACATCGTGGCCTCAGGAGCAGGGAAGGCTGTGGGACCAACCCCCCCTGGCAGTTCCCAGCTCAGGGAGCATCCCCTGTGTCCCCTGAGCCCCACGGGTGACACTGCTAATGACAAGATCAGGGACCCCAAGCCAGCCTGTCAGTGTTGTTACTTGGCAGGTGCTGCTTCTAACACAAAATCATCCCAGTGCAGGGCAACACCGGCTGACATGACACCTGCCCTCCACAGAGGGTAGAAGGTCCCAAAATCCAGGTGCTGCTAAGCCAAGGCTGGGCAGGGTGAGGGAAAAGGTTACCCTGCTCCACAGCAACACCCCCCAAACCTGCTGCTTGTTCTGTTGGATTTCTGGCCACTTCAAGCACTGAGTTTGGGGCTGCCCAAGCTTGGCTCTGGCCTGGCACAGAGTTTTGGCAGTCCAACACATCTTGCTTGACATGGGATCAGAGATGGCAAAGCCCTCTGAAAAACGACAGCAGCACAAAGCAATCCAAACACATCACTGACTCCCAGGATTTTATCATTTCACCACAGGGAAAACAGGTCACACTACACAGAGCCCCCCTGGAGCCCCAAAAGGGCTAAATGGGTACATCCATCTTCTGCTCCTCATCTGAATCTGTCCCTGCTGCCCTTTGAGATGAGAAGCAGCTGTTAGAGCACCAAGGAAACTTGTTGGCTCCTCCTCTTGCAAGTCCCAAATGTGGGGGGTCTGTGCTGTAGAAGTGGCTGGTGGAAGAAGCCTGGTGAGCAAAGAGTCTCCTTCCCACCAAATCCAGCCTTCAGCAGCAGAGCCAGCATCAGGGGAATGGCTCCTCTCCCCATTCCCACAGAGCCACACGCAGCCAGAGCCTCGTGGAAATGAGTTTATTGACACGGAGGGCAGGCAAAGCCTCAAGAGCAACACAAACACTTGAACGAGCAGGGGCAGAGGGAATGCAGAGCCCCAGCTCTGCCCCGGGCTGAGACACCCATCCCAAAAGCTGGGAAGGAATTTGGCAAGAGAAAGGGGGGGCTCAGCAACCCCTCCCCACCTCGAAGCTGCTCTCTCCTCCCTGCCCCACACAGCACTGCACTCAGTGCCACTGGTGCTTCCTTAATTCCTCTGTCCATGATTTTTACACTCCACCCACAGGGCTTGGAGCAAATCACCTCCCAGCACACGTGGGCAAGGCTCAAGGGCTGGGTTGCTCTAGCTCTGCCCCACTTTCTTCCCCCAGCCAGAGCACAGGGGTTCCTACACAGGGACACCACCTTCCTCAGGGTCGTGCAGCTCCTGGGTCCTGCTGGAGCCTCTCCCAGGACACCGTGACCTGTTCCCAGCACTGGTTTCTTGGCTGCAGTCAGTGCCAAAGCCCTGATGAACGATCTCCCACCGTGAAACGTTTACTGACTGTGAAAGTGGCATCTAAAAGGACAACAGGGATGGTTGCTACACAAAGAGCTTTGTTAGCTGGGGAGGAGATGTCCAAGCATGCTGGGGAGGGAGAGGCTGTGCTGGATTGGGGCTTGGATTAAGCAGGACAAGCTATGGATGGAGCAGGGACATGCAAGGGGTGTTGGTTTCACTGCTTTGCTGCAGCACTGAGTGGTTGCAATGGGGCGAGTCCACAGCTGTGGGCTGGAAGGGAAACAATCCTGGCTCTAAGGGACAGCTTGGAACAGAGGGGCCAGGGCATGGGGCTGCTTGGGACAGGGACTCGGAGCAGGAACCTGGCTGGCTCTGGCCACTGTGTGTCTCTGGGCACAAAGAATGGAGCTGCCCATGGGAGAAACCCTTCCATGAGCTGCTCCACCCGGCCCAGCTGGAAGCTGAGTGCCCCAGGCAGGCAGGCAGCAAACACTGCCAAGCCCAAACCATCTCCCACCATGCCCAGCCTGGGGTTTGGGGGCAGCATGGCAACAGGGAGAGGCACTCCACTCCCCTGGCAGCCTGGGGCACTGCCAGCAGCAGCCCCTCTCTGTGGGGGCCTGGCTGACACTGCAGGGAAGTGGCAGTGCCACGTTTGGATGTGCCACCAATTGCCAGGGCCAGTGCTGGGACAGGGGGCACAGCTCAGGGATGGCTGAGGAGGCAGCTTGGCCTCAGCAGGCACAAAAAGAGGAGGAAGAGGGGCTGCACATGGGTGAGGATGCAGAGACCACACCTGGAGCTCTGGCATGAGCCTCTTCCTCTAGGAACAGGCTCATTTTCTTCATTTCATCCACCCTGCCCTGTTACCCATCCAGGCCTGCACAAAGGCAGCCTCACTCCTCAAATCACCAGCTGGTGAGGCAGGGAGGTGGCTGGAGTGAAAACACCATCGAAGCCAGCACAGGAGTAATAAAAACCCCTCCTTAGGGCTCCATCCCCCTCCTAGGACCCAACTGGTGTCTCTGTTCCTAATTCCCTGAGGCCGTGCTGACCCATGTCCCTGCAGGGCTCCCAAGACTTCCTTGCAATCACCTTCCCTTTAAGCCAATTACAATAGAAAAACTCAAAAAAAAAAGTATAAAAATATAAAATAAAGTGCAGTGTTATGTTTTCGACACTTTTGCCTTGTTTTAATGAGCAGACGTGTGGTTTTTGCTCGGTGTTTTTTTGTTTTTCCAACGAGCAGTTATTTTACAAAATCCAAACTACACCTAAAGCCATTTAGAAAACACTGAACATTGGCACAAACTGGAGAGAAGCCCACGAGAACGGATGAGTGAGGGGCGAGGGGGACATGGGAATAGTTTGAAGCAGTGGTTACAAACTCCATGGATGCTAAAAATACCAAAGGGGCTTGTTCCCTATCATCGTTAGCACGTGGATACTAATTGCTACCTTGTTTAATCAGTGCCTTTGACTGAAATCCTACACATGAATACAGCTGCTTCCAGTTACGAGTGCTTTTCCCCTGCGCTGGCGGTGAAGGAGGTTCCGGGGACCCCTTTTCCCCCCTCCTTCTGCAGGGTGAGGCACAGGCTCCACCTCCTGTTAGTTTTTCAAGATGGCATCGTAGGCCTGGTAGATGTACTGGGACACTTCTGGAGCTCGGCATTTCAGGGAGAGCTGTGGAGAGGAGAGGAGAGGTTAGTGCTGGGGCAAAGGGGGCAGGGGCGTCCTGCCACGGCCACAAGGGCAGCTGGGAGTGGGCTGGACGTGGCTGCTGACAATCACACAGAATATTCCTCCTGCTTTCTTCATCACCAATCTCAAACTGCCCTTTCAGAGCTTGCTGTAAGCAGGAGGAAAACAAAAGCAAACTCCCACTGTGGGGTTCCCACATTCTCAGCAAATGCAGGTGACCCCACAGGCAGGAAGAAAGGGGACATTGTCCCAAACTGTGCTTGTCCTCAGGCTGCAAATCACAGCACTAAACCCAAGGGCTTCTAAGGATCTGCTGCTCAGTCCTGATGGACACAAACTTGGCTGTCACTCCTCTCTAAAGCAAAGATCAGGCTGAGACCAGGCTTGCAGCACCAAACCTTGTGCAAACACTTCAAATCACCTTCCAATGCTCACATTCACCCCGCAGCTCCCCAGACTTCTCTCGAAACTCCTGGCACAGCTTCCAACAGAAGATAAATCCTCTAATACCAGAGACACACAGGTCCCTCAGAAGGGCAGTGAAGTCAAAGAGAAGAGTCACAGGGGTGCATGAAGCAGGACAGAGAGCATCTTCCCAGCAGCCCCGGGCTGGTGCCAGCACAGGGCCACAGACAGCCGGGAACACGGCGGGGCATAAATTTCCCCTTGTCTATAAGAGGGGGAAGGGCACCCTGGCAATGCTTCCTTGCTAATATCTCTTGGCTTTATCTCTGGGCAACCTTGGCAAGTCACTGCTCACTGCTGAGCAGGCACTGTCCCATCTCACTGGTGACAGAGCAGGGGAATTCTGCTGCTCCTCACTCTTCCCCTGTTAGGCACTCCTCACCCCTCCAGCCAAATCAACAGCATCTCCCTCAACCCCGAGCGAGCAGGGAGGGAGGAAGGGCAGGGAGGAAGAGCTCAGTGTGTGGGGGAGGCAGCAGGAGCCCAGGCTGTGCCCTGGCCTCTGCTGGGAGCCCTCACCGTGTAGTTGGGGTTCCCGGGCTGGATGCGCAGCTCAGCCAGGATCCAGATGCCGTTGGTGAGCTTCAGGGACTGGTAGAGCATGTCCTGCCCCTCCACGTTCCTCTTGGCAATGGTGTACACATTGTTGTTCTGCAGCTTGCTGGAGACAGTGTCTTTGGAGGGAAGGGAGAAAAAAAAGACATCTGTTAGCTCAGATCCATCATCTGCAGAGACAGGAGAGCCCTGGGGAGCATTCCCAGGATGCAAGGGCACAGCTCCTTCCCTGGGGACAGGAGCACACATGACACAAGGAGAAAAAAAATTTCCAGTTCTCTCCCTGGACCCACTCATTCCCTTCAGGCTGTGATCTCTTGGTAAGTATTTTCACATTTTGCAGGGCTCTCACTGCCCTGGGTCAATCAGGACTTGGTCAAGGTGAGACTTTAAAGGCTACTCAGAGGGGAAGAGGACTCTGCTTTCTCTACAACCCCCATCCATCTACAGGCAGCCAAAAAAATCAGAAGATGAAGGTGTTAAAGAACAAAGTTCACAGCCTGAGGCTTGCTCAGGTTCTGAGGTCCTGTCCCAGCCACAAGAGCTCCCTCCTACTTCACT